TTCATAGAATTCATTATCCCACTGGAAATAGCTGGTCATTAGGCAGTGTTGGAAGAGGGCCTTGAACATGCCCTAAAACAAACTGGACATGAAATTCTATTTCAAAATACTGAAATACTGGACAACACGAGCAGCCATTACGTGAGACCATTACGTGAGACTGCACAGGGAAGCCATTGAAATCCACAAGCACCAGCAGAACTTTAACAAAAAAGAGGAAAGTTTGAAACTCAACAAAACCTGGCTCCCAGCTCTCAAAAAATACAGCGTGCAAAAGGTCAACAAACTCTACCCAGCCACAAGGACCGGGTATCACTACACACGAAAGACCAGCTAATGACACCCATCAACCACAGTGACAGATAATCTCTCCTTCTTATCACAACAATACACCCACAACAAGACACACTAATCACCCATCTACAGAAAAAGAAAAAGCCCATCTCACAGCCACAAATACTCCACTACCAAGCCAACTTCACCAGAGCACAAAGTGCTGTCCGCTAAAGATGATGGCCACAGAGACTGGCAAAACGTTAGGAAGAACAACCTTCAGAACACGGCCAAAGAGCCCGAAAAACCCACAACTACCATTAGATCCCAGCCGTGAAAGCCTTCGCAAATACATTAAACACATCATGATGTAGATGACAGATGCACATGTTGGAAACCATAATTTCATACATTACAAGCACAGCTCTACCTGCTGCTTCTTTCTGATTTGATTTCCCCTCATTCACTTACCTGTATTATTTACTCAGTAGCAAAGGACAGGTTATATCTTTTGGGAAGGAGATTATTTTTAGATAAATTAAAATGCCATCCACAGGGTATGGTAATACTACTCTGGATTCCTTCAGTATTGCCAGCTGGGTCATAAACAACCCTGTCCCTTCAGAGCTTCTGGGCCTTTAACAGATTCATGATGGGAGGAAATTCAGCACCTGGAGGTGAAGCTTGCCTTCTTCACATGCTGGAGAAGGTTGAATCCTTCTCTTTCACAGAGCAGTTAAAAGCATAGGCATCCTCCCCCCCCCAAAAAAGAAGCCCTAGTAGCCTACTTAGTTGTTTCCTGGAGCTTTTGTATACTGTATTTTGAAATTCACAATGATCCAATCCGTGGATGTAAAAATCAAGTCTCAGTGTTACTTTTCTTTTTTCCTCTAACAAGTTTCCAAGGTCTGGCAACTTATTCACTGGAAACAAGAACATTAAAAAGCCACCCTAGATCCAAGTTGAGGCTAAGATGTGGGGAGGAGAAGTTGAGGAGGAGAGAAGAATAATAAGGTTCTTGTGTCTTCAATAGTTGTGTGAAAGTGGAAATTTTAGCAACAGATTTGAGTGATCAACTTCTCTTTCATAGTTTCTATTACAAAAATGCCTAGAGTCAGAAGATGCTGGACTTGATGTTGGATGATGCACAAACCAAGAAAGCAAGCAAGCAAACAAAAAGTAACATCCTAATTTAGGCAATAGGATACTAGACAGCAACGTTTAAGTCACAAGCTAAAATCCTGTTGCTTAACATAGTAAGTAGTGTCAGAGTTGGCCCACTGTATCATTGTGGATTTGGTGAGTCAACTCCTTCAGAAGTATGCTGGACTTGATGTTGGATGATGCACAAACCAAGAAAGCAAGCAAGCAAACAAAAAGTAACATCCTAATTTAGGCAATAGGATACTAGACAGCAACGTTTAAGTCACAAGCTAAAATCCTGTTGCTTAACATAGTAAGTAGTGTCAGAGTTGGCCCACTGTATCATTGTGGATTTGGTGAGTCAACTCCTTCAGAAGTTCCATTGAGTCTGTGGATTTGGTGAGTCAACTCCTTCATAAGTTCCATTGAGTCAAATGAGCCTGCTCTAAGAGCAGACCTATTTAAATCAATGGAACATTATGGAGGAGTTAACTCACCAAATCTGCACTCATTCAGTGGGCCTACTCTAGCGCAACCAACTATGTTAGGCGATAAAATTTCAGCTTCAGTCTCAATATGGTCCCCTCTAGATCTTTTGGATTATAACTCCAACCATCCCTGGCCATTGACAAAGACTGTTGGGAGTTAAAATCAAGCACTTTGGGAGAACATTATTTAGAGCAGTGGTCCCCAACCTTGGGCCTCCAGATGTTCTTGGACTTCAACTCCCAGAAATCCTGGACAACAGAGGTGGTGGTGAAGGCTTTTGTGAGTTGTAGTCCAAGAACATCTGGAGGCCCAAGGTTGGGGACCACTGATTTAGAGGAACATGAGAGCTTTTTGTCCAGCTAACCTTTTCATAATGTTTTGGTCTACAACCCCCATGGTACCTTGGCTACTCTCACAGGCTCTTCTGGGAAGTGAAATCTATAAATAAAGATTCTCCCATCCCCTATACAAAATATTAATTACTCTAGGGCTGTGCTGGAAACAGGTGGACTGGACTTCCTCTCTGTTTCTCTGCACATCATGAGAGCTTTTTGTCCAGCTAACCTTTTCATAATGTTTTGGTCTACAACCCCCATGGTACCTTGGCTACTCTCACAGGCTCTTCTGGGAAGTGAAATCTATAAATAAAGATTCTCCCATCCCCTATACAAAATATTAATTACTCTAGGGCTGTGCTGGAAACAGGTGGACTGGACTTCCTCTCTGTTTCTCTGCACATCAGCAAACAGACATTCTCCTTCTCTAATCATTTTACTAGCAACCATGCTATTTACAGTTATCCTTTGCTCTTCCTGAGAAACTGATAGCTTTCTCAGTATTTTGAGCTATCTTTTGTTATGTTTTGCAGCTGTCTTATCACACAGTTTTCAAGGTATAAAATATTCACACATGGTTTACTGTTGCCTTCTGTGCAGTACTAACAAGAGTTAGCTTAACTGTCACTGTCATTGTCTGTGAAAAATCTTACACCAGTGCCACTTCTGCTGCCTGCAGCTCCCCTTCAAGTGTTTCTCTACCCACTTCTACTGTATCTATCCATTTTCTCCTGTTGGTGTAATTAGTAAATCCTAAAGAGAATGGCTTCAACTTAGTCTTGCGTCTCTGTCTCAGCTATGACCATGCCACCTTTGGTGATCCTGCTAGGACTCTAGCCTCCTGACAATATTGCTTTCAGTTTTCATGACACAATCAAACCCCTTTACCAAGTTAAGGTATGCATTAGGTGGGGGTCCTTTTAATTGTTCCTTTTAAATAGGTGAAAGCTAGAACCCAAGGCTCTTGGGTGGAAGCCTGTGCTTGATTTCCTCCACCCCCTTCATCTGAAAAATGGAAGTAGTGGTGGCCTACCTCACCATGTGGTAAATCCCTTGTTTTTTGCTAGTTAAAAAGCCCACACTTAAGATATAATAAATGCATATACAAATAAAGTCTCTTATACCGAATTATGTTTCACTGAAATGGATGGGAATTTTCTTCTTCAGAGCAAGCAACCTGTTGCTTTGGCTTGAGAGGGCAAGGTGCTCCTTGCTGTCCTAGTCGTTAGTGGAACCCGGTGCCACCTCAGCTTTGTAGTCCAACGCCCATCAGCAGTCCTAGCCAGTGGCTACAGGGGACAGGAGCCAGTTTTATCAAAAAAACGCAGCCTGAGGGAGGAGGGCTCACGCCGCGTCCCTTCACCGGCCCATCGAAGCGCCCTCAGGCTCCTCCAGGAAGCTTCCCTTGGGGCTGAAATTCGGGAAAGCCCGCCCCCCTTGCCCAGGTGTTCTTCCTCCCAGCCTCGTCAGATCCCCCCCCCACCAAAAACAATAAGGGCGGCGGCCGCGCCTCCCTCTCTACCTGCCCGCGCTGGCGCCTGAGGAGTCGCCTGAAAAGGCCTCCCCCGGCTTCCCCGTTGGCCCAAAGGGCGCAGCAGCATCCCACCGAGAAGCCTCACCGAACAAGGATCACAACGCACACAGCTCAGCACACCACAACAGCTCTCCCTCCCGGGCAGCAGCCTTGCTGACGGGCCAGCGCGGGGGGGGGGGGAAAGGGCGCAGAGAGAAGAGGGCGGCGCCCCCTCCTCCTCCTCCTTCCCCCCTCCCCGGCCCGAAAGGAAAGCCAGACAATCGCCCGCCTAAACGCTGCGCTCTTTACCTCGCGCCCCGGGTCTTCCGAAAGGTGGCCCGGCCAGCAGCCTCTCTCCGCGCCTGCCCTGCGTCCCCGGGGGAGGCGCTCCCTGGAAATGGGCTGTCCTGGGGGTCTGCCCGGCGGCAAGCTAAGCCAGGAGGCACCATTGCGCCCAGCGACGGCCGGGCAGCCTCTCCCTTCGTCCCAGCCTCGCCTTGACGCGCGGCGGCGGCGGCGGCGGCGGCAGCAGCAAAGCGCTTCCCGGCTGCCCAGCTCCCCGCCCCCTTCTTCTGCTCGGGACCGCTGGCGGAATCGGGTGGCGGGGGAGAAGCAGGGTGGCCGTCCAGCCTCGCCTTGCCTTGCCCGTTCATTGCTCTTTTTTCCCCGCTTTTTCCAGAGAAATGGAACGGCCCATTCATCGATCGAGGGTAGATCATAATTAAAAATAACAGTGCTAACAAGGCTGATGCTCATGCCAGTAAAATATAACAATAACAACAGCAGCAGCAACAACAACAACAACATTTTTGATTGACTGTGCTTGGCATTTTAGAAGGAGAAGAAAAAAAAAACAATATCCGAACCTTGGGAAGGAGAGACTTTCCTAAGCAGACAGTGCTGTTTGTTATGTAGGCTTTTCAATTAAATGAAGAAAGACAGGTTCCCTTTCCCTTTGCCTGCGGTCCTTGGTGCTGGTTTTACTGAAAACAACATGCACAGAATCTTCTGGGGAAGACAAAAAAGCACTCTTCCTAATAGTTTTAAACTGAGGACTTGAGGGGGCAGAACAATTTATGCATTGTACCCAGTAGAGATGACAGGCTGCACACTCACACCTTTTGGGAGGGCATTCTTTTTTCCTAGACCTCCATGGTTTGGTACGTTTGCTGCACCTGTTGAATTTCCACTTTGTTGTCCAGCTGTTGACAGCAGAGGAGGGCCCCAGAAGGGGAGTGAAAAAGCAGAGCCCTGTTGTTGTTTTAGCACGAATCCACAATCTCTATTACTATAGCAAACAGGAAAGAAATATACATGATTGTGCGACTAACAGGTCCTTCCACCACCACAACTGCACATTTTCCAGTGAATAGGTAACAAAAAGAAAACCCAGAGGGATAGCAGTCATGTCTGTACAGTAGATGCAACAAACATGTCATGTGGCTCTTTAAAGACTAGCACATTTATAATAGCATTAAGCATTGGAGGCTACAATCCATTTCATCAATTACAAGAACTGCTGTTTTAAAGAACACAGAAGGCATGCTTACTTGATGGTGGTGCTGATTTGTGAACAATGACGTTTGGATTGTGTTAGTAGAGGCTCTTCACAAGGCAACAGCTCTTCATAAGATAGTTGTGAGGTAAAGCAGTAGATTCCCAGAATGTTATAGTGGATAGAGTGACAGACTAGGTCTCTGGAGAAGAGGGTTTGAATTTCTGCTCAGCCATGGAAACCCAATGGGCGAACAGAACTGGTAAAAACACTCCTTAAATATCTAACTTATCTTGAAAGCCCTATTAGGGTCACTGTAAGTCAGTTCTGACTTGACATCACAGAACCCACAAACAAAGCAGTAGATAGACAGAGGCACAGACATATTTGCACTAATGATTATTGTATGCAACATAAAAACCAAAACAAAGAACCTTTGTCCCTGATAAGCCCATAGGAGATAGTGTTGAACTTCCTGATACACTGGGGCTCAGCTGTTTTGTGTAGCAATTTGTCCTCAAAGTTCCTTTGTATAAATACTTCAAGGTATTTATCTTCCAGACCAGCAGGCCAAAACCTTTTTTCAAACAGCCTTCCAGATCCCTGGGGGTGGAAGATGCAGCATGTGCTCTACTGTCAGCGGACTATCTTAGGTGACGTAGTGAATGGTACAGGGTATGATCACCAAAGCCCTCCTCCAAGATACTGTCCCTGATCCCCACCCCTCAGCACCTACTGTATAACCTCACTCAGAACAGATCTGAATCTAACAAAATATGGGAACCCTTCTCCTTCAAATGCTGAGAACATATCTCATGATAAAACAACCCATAGGAAACACGTATTTCATTTTTTTCAGGCCATAGGATTTTCTAGTGCAGGGCTGAAGAATAAACATTGCTGGAGTGCAAATCCCACCAAACCTAGAGGGTGCAGCCAGGGAGTTGTAATCTAATGACATCTGGAAAACCATATGCTGACTACACCCAGATAGACGTCAGTTCTCTCAAGCAACTATGCCAGTTTGTACTCAACAAAATAGTAATTCCCCATCTGCCATCAGATAAGTTATCTTATACTGTTGTTTTTATGAAATTGTTTTATGAACGTGTTGTTAGTCGCCTAGAGTAGACTTCGGTCTAGATGGGTGGGATATAAATAAATAAATAAATAAATAAATAAATAAATAAATAAATAAATAAATAAATAAATAAATAAATACCAACTCAGCCACAACATGCCACAGGTTGTACCTGTGGAATTTTTGCTTGCTATGCAGTTGTTAGAGATAATTGTTGTTTAGTTGTTAAGTCGTGTCTGACTCTTCATGGCCCCCCATGGACCAGAGCACACCAGACCCTCCTGTCTTCCACTGCCTCCTGGAGTTTGGTCAAGTTCCTATTGGTAGCTTCGATGACACTGTCCAACCATCTCGTTCCCTTCTCCTCTTGCCTTCACACTTTCCCAACATCAGGGTCTTTTCCAGGGAGATTTATCTTCTCATCAGATGGCCAAAGTATTTTAGCCTCAGCTTCAGGATATATCCTTCCAGTGAGCACTCAGGGATGATTTCCTTCAGAATGGATAGGTTTGTTCTCCTTGCAGTCCAGGGGTCTCTCAAGAGTCTCCTCCAGCGCCACAATTCAAAAGCATCCATTCTTCGGCTTTTAATGTATGGAAGCGAGAGCTGGACCATCACTACTGGAAAAAAACATAGCTTTGACTATGCAAACCTTTGTTGGCAAGGTGATGTCTCTGCTTTTTAACATGCTGTCTAGGTTTGTCATTGCTTTCCTCCCAAGAAGAAGGTGTCTTTTAATTTCGTGGCTGCTGTTACCATCTGCAGTGATCATGGAGCCCAAGAAAGTAAAATCTGTCACTGCGTCCATATCTTCCCCTTCTATGTGCCAGGAGGTGATGGGACCAGTGGCCATGATCTTAGTTTTTTTGATGTTGAGCTTCAGACTGTTTTTTGCGCTCCCCTCTTTCACCCTCATTAAGAGGTTATTTAATTCCTCCTCTCTTTCTGCCATCAGAGTGGTATCATCTGAGGTATCTGAGATATTTCTTCCGGCAATCTTAATTCTGGCTTGGGATTCATCCAGTCCGGCCTTTCGCATGATGTATTCTGCATATAAGTTAAATAAGCAGGGAGACAATATACAGCCTTGGCATACTCCTTTTCCAATAGTATTATAGTATTTGGGATAATACTATATTTTCATTTAAAGTATTTTTTGCCCTGGATCTGTGGGGATCCAGTGTTGCTCTCAAAACAGCTTAGTTCTTCTTGACTCATATGCATTGTTATTTATTTGCATTAAAAAACAGACAAATTAATTATATAGCCATATCTTGGCTTCATATTGAACTGTTTTCCAGCATTTGTTGCATAGGGCAGCTGTACTTCTGCAGTTGCTGAAAGCAAAAGCAAAGCAAAGCAAAGCTTGCTGCTTATATACCACCCCATAGTGCTTCAAGCACTCTCTGGGCAGTTTACAAGTTAATTATGCAGGCTACACTCCCCCCCCCAGCAAGCTGGGTACTCATTTTACCGACCTCGGAAGGATAAAAGGCTGAGTCAACCTTGAGCCGGCTACCTGGGAATTGAACCCCAGGTCGTGAGCACAGTTTTGGCTGCAGTACAGCGATTTAACCACTGTGCCACGAGGCTCTTTTTAGAAAGCATTTATTTTAGTTATATTTCCTTCAGAGAGTGGAGATAACATCATATATGAATCCCCCCCCCACACTAAATAGAAGAAAGAAATGAATCATTTTGAGAAAATGAATCATTCAATATGGAGTCCCTTTTGTGTTATAAAGGAAATGTGAAGATCTGGCCACCATTTGAAGCTGCAGAAGCTGTGTTTCTCAGGGCTTATCCATATTTTTAAGCTGAGTAACATCCATTTGTTTTCTGGGTATTGTTTTATTTTTAAATGGACATTCTCTTGTATGCTTCTGAGGGCATTATTATACATGTGGGCAGGGTTGACCTGAGACAAAATACAAGATAGTGGCCCCTCTATTCTGTATACAGAAGCTCTCTTTGACTTGCAATAGACCCTTGCTTCAGAACATGGCAATAGGATATACAGTGGTGCCTCGACTTACGAATGTCCCTACTTACAAAATTTTCGAGTTATGAAAAGCTCTGGATGCAAAATATTGCTTCGACTTGTGGCTGGGGGTTGACCTGAGACAAAATACAAGATAGTGGCCCCTCTATTCTGTATACAGAAGCTCTCTTTGACTTGCAATAGACCCTTGCTTCAGAACATGGCAATAGGATATACAGTGGTGCCTCGACTTACGAATGTCCCTACTTACAAAATTTTCGAGTTATGAAAAGCTCTGGATGCAAAATATTGCTTCGACTTGTGGCTGGGCCATTGCTTTGACTTGTGGCTGGACCTTCGAGTTACAAGTGGAGAAAATGTGCGGGAGGTGGGGAAAACGCGAAATTTGAACTTTCTGTCAACCATTGGCCAGTGAAGAGGCTGCATGTCTGCTACCTCGCTTGTCCCAGCGGTTAGAGAGTGGATAGGGAGAGAGTCTTCAGACTGCCTAGTACTGTCTGGTACTTTGCTGTACGGACTATATTTTTTTGGCTTTTTTAAAAATGATTTTTGGATTTTTGACTTAAAAAAACCCAGAGACTGCCTGTTCTAAGTGAGTACACTCTATTTACTGTACTGTACAGGGTATTTTGCAGCTTGGTGGTGGTGGGGTAAGGCTAAGTGGGGGGTTATGTTTCTGTGCTCTGATGGGTCTTGCAGTGTGGATTTAAAATGTGAAAAGTAGACTGTAATATTAAATTAAAATTAAATGTGAAAATTAGACTGTATGTGATCAAGTTCTTCTAAAATTGATGATGGTTCCCTCATTTTGCGGGAATAAGAGACGAAGATGGTTTGGAATGACCAACTTCTTCAACTTTATTAACATCAACTTCTGAATTAACAAGGTTAAATGGATCAAAACAGCTTAACTCTGGGAATGTTTTATAACTCAAGATCTTCATTTCTGGTGTAAATATATCACTCCTCACATTGGGGCT